TCATTACGGAGTGATGACTCCAATGGGACTTACGAAACTGTTACAGAAACTATCACCACCCCAGCAATGGAGAGACAGTACAAGTCTCGCAAATCGACTCGACCAACACTATATCGCTCCTGGAGGCCCTGCGTGGCGCGGCGGCGCAATTCTCGAGGATATTGAAAATTGGGTGGCAGAACAAGCCGGTCAATTGCACAATCGATGCTTGGTTGGCTCTCGTACAAAACGATACTATTCGTGGATTTTTGTCCCCAATACAATTGGTGGACTTGATAGTCTCGTGGACGACCTGGAGAGCGGACTGCGCTATGTCATCACACACGGCTCCACCATCGACTTTGTTCTCATTGCGAGGCACGAGGATCACGTCCACGTCAACCACGTCTGCACTAGCTCAAACTCCAGCTGCAGATGTTCGTGGTTGCGTGGCAGTGAGTCCTACCGGTCAACACGACGGCAACAATTGGCGCGAAATGTTCGAGCGGCTAACATCGACACCGCGGGATGGGAAAATGTCTTACGATATTTCCTTAGCGGTGGCAGACGTATCGAGCGCCTTATCGTTGGAAGTACGTATTTATTTTTTATATTATTAAATTAATATTTTTAGTAAAAAAACTATTTTTTGCAACAGGTCGAACCCGACGATCTCCTGTGGGAAATGAAATGCTACAGGAGACGGGACGTCCGGGGAATAGACAAGTCGGAGTGGTGGAAGAGGACTCACTTGAAGATGACCGGAACCTGCTCGGAGAGCCTCTCGGAGCAGGGGAAGTTAATAGACCGGTTGGTTGCCTCGGTGACTCGCCAGTTGTCCGACAACCCATAACGAGTGCATTCACCTGCATGAATTAATCATGCTGGATGCTTGCTCAAACCTTCGGTTTCGACGACGACGACACGACGACAGTGTAGTGTACATACACTGCCACAGGTGGCGGTATGGGCGGAGTGACCGATCAGCCGTATGTAGTGTTGCCGCCCAGAGCATCAGTTGGCTGTTGGGTTGGGTTGGGTTGGGTTGGGTTTGGTTTGGTTTGGGAAACCGAAGGTTTGAGCAAGCATTCAGCATGATTAATACATGCAGGTGAATGCACTCGTTATGCGTTTATGAGTTCCTGGTGCCAAAACCGCGTATATAAATACGATAACAGACGTGTAGAAAATCAGTGTGTTCGTTTAGTGATCACAGTAATCTACTACTATTGCTCTTGCTGCTGCACAGTACGTTTTTTCGCTTATTATTATTTTATAATATTATTATTATTATTATAAATAATGAATACTTCAAAAACTGAAGATTGTTCTACCGCTCCTGAATCTCAAGAACTTTTTGTCCAGGACAACGAAGAGGTTTTCGACATTTTTACGCAACAGCCCAACGGTGACGTCTCCTCAGAATTGGAATCGGCCAAACGAGAACTATTCGTTGACCCTTGTTGGTCAGAGGAAGTACGTACTTACAAAAATCTTTTACTACATTCACAATGGAAGAATATCAAGGAGCTCCTGCCGAAACAAGAAGACATGGACGTGACGGACGTGGTAAGACAAAAATATTAGTACAACAGCCGTATTTTGTTTCTATTAATATTTTCGCTTTACAGATAATGGCTTTGTCGGCGTGCTTGCACGTATCCGGCAACGCCGAATTGCTGCCAGTCCATATACTCCTACTGTATCTGGCCAACAATTGTCACTACGGAGCGATAACACCGATGGGCTTGACCAAATTACTCCAGAAACTTCCACCACCTCAGTTATGGAAAGAAACGCAAGTGCAAACGTCTCTATCCAACTCCGAAACCACTATCTCGCTCCTGGAGGCCCTGCGTGGCGCGGCGGCGCAATTCTCGCGGATATTGACAATTGGCTGGCAGAACAAGCCAGTCAATTGTACAATCGATGCGTGGCAGGTCCTCGTACGAAACGATATTATTCGTGGATATTTGTCCCCGGTACAATTGGTGGACTTGATAATATCGTGGAGGACCTGGAGAGAGGATTGCGCTACTGCATCACGCACGGGTCCAACGTCGAATTTGTCCTCATTGCGAGGCACGAGGACCACATCCACGTCAATCACGTCTGTACAAGCTCCAACGCTAGCTGCAGATGTTCGTGGTTACGAGGAAGTGAGTCCTACCGGACGTCCCGAAAACAACAACTGGCGCGAAATGTTCGAGCGGCTGACATCGACACCGCGGGATGGCAGAATGTCCTACGATATTTCATTAGCGGTGGCCGACGTGTCGAGCGCCTTATCGTTGGAAGTAAGTTTTTATTTTTCGATAACATATAAATATATTATTTCAAATAAATTATTTTTTACAGGTAGAACCCGACGATCTCCTGTGGGAGCTGAAATGCTACAGGAGACGGGACGTCCGGGGAATGGACAAGTCGGAGTGGTGGAAACGAACGCACCTGAAGATGACGGGGACGTGCTCGGAGAGCCATTCGGAGCAGGGGAGGCTCATCGACCGGTTAGTTGCCTCAGTGACGCGGCAGTTGTCCGACAACCCGGCAACTCGCCGCAAGAAAACAATCAGATACGACAAGAAATAATAAATCTCCTGCTCAAAACTGGCGGCTCGATTGACGGTTCTCTTTTAAAAGGTCGTAAACGAAAACAAAGGGAAATAGAGATTTTAATTAGAATGTACCCCACATGTCCCATAAATGCCGTTAATAAAACTATAGAATTCATTAATAATCAACACACAAAATAAATTTCTAGTTCTGATAGAGATCTCGCGGTAATAATTAAAAATTGGTCTATAATATTGAATCAGTGGAGCGTACAACAGTTTTGGGACTATTATTCTTCTCCCGGTGTGAGGCCGTATTTTAATTTGTACGCATTTACTAATTGTAAGTCGTCATTTTATTATACGGCGGCCGAGTCGTTGGAAATCGCCGTAGAACTGTTGTCTTTTCAGTTTGACGGTGATTTTGAACGAATACATAAATTTATTTACGATTTATTCGACGTGGTCGAAAAAAATGTTCCAAAACGTAATACGTTATCCGTTCTATCGCCCCCAAATGCCGGTAAAAATTTTTTTTTTGACGCTGTATGTTCTTATTTTTTAAATTACGGCATTATTTCCACTCTAAATAAACACTCACCTTTCGGTTATCAGGACATGGACAATAGGCGGATAGTTCTATGGAACGAACCCAACTATGAGTCCAACGAGACCGAAACTTTAAAGATGTTATTAGGTGGTGATAGTGCTAAAATTCGAGTTAAGTATTTGGGGGATCAAGACATACAGGGTCCACCAGTAATTATTTTAACAAATCACTTTATTCCTTTATTTTCTGACCCGGCCTTTGAAAGTAGAATTTGTCAATACGAGTGGAAGGCGGCTCCGTTCCTGAAGCAATACAAAGGAAAACTGAACCCTAAAATGTTTTACCTATTGTTACAAAAATTTAAATTATTATAAATGTATTTATATGTAAATAAACGAAACACTATAATTGTTAATCATGGTTTTTTATTTTTTAATAAATTATACATAGGATTATATTTTCCTTTTTTATTTACATAATTATATTTATCCGCTAACTGATCGCCATTTTCAACACCTGGATAGTACATGGCTGTTATTTCGTTTATTTCGTCTTGACTAGCTTTTCTACTGCTACTTGCTACTCTATAATTACTCCAGAGGGTATCCGATTGCACTCCTGCAAAATTCAGTGCTCCATAACCATCAAAATAATATCTGTCTTTCCAACCAGATAATTCGTCTTCCGATGCACTTTTAGCTGCAGGAGTTGCAATAGTTGTAGAAGATGGTTTTAGTGTAGTACTCGCAGTAGTACTGACAGTAGTTGTAGTGTCTGGAGGTGTAGTAGACGTAGAGGTGGACAACGGTTTAATAGTTGTAGTACTTGTTTTTTTTTTTTTTGGCGGCAAATTTTTTNTGTCTTTTGCTGTAACTCTGGGTACAGGATAAACACCCACGTGTAAGGATGGTTGTGCCTCAGAAGGTGTGTAATGTGAATTTTTTTTAACGAGTACATGCGATAGTTCTATTAAGGATATATGTCGACCAGAATTCACGTAAGACCAACTTTTTGAGCTTTCGTGTACGGACGTAATGTCCATTGCTTGTTGAGTTATATTTGTAGAACAATATTTGCCTCTTTTAAATTTTGTAATGGCAGAACCACTGGGACAAAAATAATCAGCCTGTTGACATTGATTGTAATTACTATTACTGGTGTCCGGCCAATAGTAGGTCTGATGGCTGTTGACAGGTTTACTCAATAGACTCATTTTTGGGCTATATTCGTAATGTACAATTTGTGTACCTACAGCAGCGTTCAAATCAAATTTATTTATATGCCTGTTCAAACGAGGCCACTGATAACCCGCTTGATTATCTGTATCGGTGTATAGAGTGAAATAATTTTGCAACACTGTAGGTAAATTCATAAAACTGCACGGCAAAGTGTCGTGCGGACTATTAGTACTGGAATACCATGCGTCGTGTTGTTTGGAATACGTGTTAGGTGCTGAGTCCGATACGGATTGCGGTTCCATGGAATTAGAAGCGACCGTAGTGTATTTTCTTGTAGCTCCTGGTATTCTTGGAAAATCAACGTATTCTCCGACTAGTACAAACTACCTACGCCCAGAGCATCAGTTGGCTGATCGGTCACTCCGCCCATACCGCCACCTGTGGCAGTGTATGTACACTACACTGTCGTCGTGTCGTCGTCGTCGAAACCGAAGGTTTGAGCAAGCATTCAGCATGATTAATTCATGCAGGTGAATGCACTCGTTAATGCAAATGCGTTTATGAGTTCCTGGTGTCAAAACCGCGTATATAAATACGATAACAGACGTGTAGAAAATCAGTGTGCTCGTCTAGCTATCACAGTGTTCTACTATTATTGCTATTGCTGCTACACAGTACGTTTTCTTGTTTTTTATTATTTTATAATATTACTAATATTATTACAAATAATAATGAATCCTTCAAAAACTGAAGACTGTTCTATCGCACCAGAATCTCAAGAACTTTTTGTTGAAGACAACGAGGAGGTTTCGGACATATTCACGCAACAGCCCAACGTTGAAGTCTCATTTGAATTGGAATCGGCCAAAAAAGAATTATTCGTCGACCCTTGTTGGTCAGAGGAAGTACGCACTTATAAAAATCTATTACTACACTCTCAATGGAAGAATATCAAAGAGCTACTACCGAAACAAGAAGACATGGATGTGACGGACGTGGTAAGACAAAAATATTAGTACAACATTCGTAATTTGTTTCTATTAATATTTTTGCTTTACAGATAATGGCATTATCGGCGTGCTTGCACGTATCCGGGAACGCCGAATTGCTTCCCGTCCATATACTCCTGTTATATCTGGCCAACAATTGTCACTACGGGGCGATAACACCGATGGGCTTGACCAAACTACTCCAGAAACTTCCACCACCTCAGTTGTGGAAAGAAATGCAAGTGCAAACGTCTCTATCCAACTCCGAAACCACTATCTCGCTCCTGGAGGCCCTGCGTGGCGCGGCGGCGCAATTCTCTCGGATATTAACAGTTGGGTGGCAGAACAAGCCGGTCAGCTGTACACTCGATGCATGGAGGGTCCTCGCACGAAACGATATTACTCGTGGATATTTGTCCCCAGTACAATTGGTGGACTTGATTCTATCGTGGAGGACCTGGAGAGAGGATTGCGCTACTGTATCACGCACGGGTCCAACATCGACTTTGTACTCATTGCGAGGCACGAGGACCACATCCATGTTAACCACGTCTGCACTAGCTCCAACACCAGTTGCAGATGTTCGTGGTTGCGTGGCAGTGAGTCCTACCGAACGTCCCGAAGGCAACAACTGGCGCGAAATGTTCGAGCGGTTGACATCGACACCGAGGGATGGGAGAATGTCTTACGATATTTCCTTGACGGTGGCCGACGTATCGAGCGCCTTATCGTTGGAAGTACGTTTTTATTGTTTTATTATTTATGTCGTTTCTATTAAACAAAAATTTTTTATACTAGGTCGAACCCGACGATCTCCTGTGGGAGCTGAAATGCTACAGGAGACGGGACGTCCGGGGAATGGACAAGTCCGAGTGGTGGAAACGGACGCACCTGAAGATGACCGGAACCTGCTCGGAGAGCCTCTCGGAGCAGGGGAAGCTTATAGACCGTCTAGTTGCCTCGGTGACGCAGCAGTTGTCAGACAATCCGGCTACACGGCGCAAGAAAGTCATGAGGTACGACAAGAAATAGTCGATCTCTTGCTCAAGACTGGTGGCTCCGTTGACGGTTCTATTTTAAAAGGCCGTAAACGAAAACAAAGGGAAATAGAAATATTAATACGTATGTATCCCACCTGCCCAATAAATGCTGTTAACAAAACAATCGAATTCATAAATAATACCCATACTAAGTATATCTCAAGTTCGGACAGGGACCTAGCTGTAATAATTAAAAATTGGTCAATTATATTAAATCAATGGAGCGTACAACAGTTTTGGGACTATTATTCTTCACCGGGTGTACGGCCGTATTTTAATTTGTACGCTTTTACCAACTGTAAATCGTCATTTTATTATACACCAGCGGAATCGCTCGAAATCGCCGTTGAATTGCTATCGTTTCAGTTTGACGGCGATTTTGAACGTATCCATAAATTTGTGTACGACTTATTTGACGTGGTGGAGAAGAACGTTCCAAAACGTAATACGCTCTCCGTTCTATCGCCCCCAAATGCCGGTAAAAATTTTTTTTTTGACGCTGTATGTTCTTATTTTTTAAATTACGGCATTATCTCAACGCTCAATAAACATTCGCCTTTCGGGTATCAAGATATGGACAATAGGCGGATAGTTCTATGGAACGAACCCAACTACGAGTCCAACGAAACCGAAACGTTGAAAATGTTGTTGGGTGGAGATAGTGCTAAAATTCGAGTTAAATATTTGGGGGATCAAGACATACAGGGTCCACCTATAATTATACTAACAAACCATTTTATACCTCTGTTCTCCGATCCGGCCTTTGAAAGTAGAATTTGTCAATACGAGTGGAAGGCAGCACCGTTCCTTAAACAGTATAAGGGAAAATTGAACTCTAAAATGTTTTATTTATTATTAGAAAAATTTAAATTATTATGATTGTATATTTGTGTAAATAAAAACAAAATGTATAGTAATTATGGTTTTTTATTTTTTAATAAATTATACATAGGATTATATTTTCCTTTTTTATTTATAAAATTATATTTGTCGGCTAATTGATCGCCATTCTGTACACCAGGAAAGTATATGGCCATGATCTTATTAACTTCATCTTGTGTGGCTTTTCTATCGTCCTGTTCTAATCTTTTACTTTTCCATTGCATGTCTGTCAATATTCCTCCAAACCTAAGAGCTCCGTATCCGTCAAAATAATACCTGTCTCTCATGACTAAATAATCTGGAACAGAAGGTAATTCTTCTACATCTACACTTTTAGCTGCAGGAGTGGCAATTGTTGTAGAAGATGGTTTTGGTGTAGTACTCGTAGTAGTACTGACAGTAGTTGTAGGGTCTGGAGGTGTAGTAGACGTAGAGGTGGAGAACGGTTTAATAGTTGTAGTACTTGTTGAATTTTGTAATTTTTTTTTGGCGGCCAAATTTTCTCTAACAGTATTGAAAACGGCCGCCGATATTAGTTTTCCGCATCTATTGTTTTCAACGAGTGTTTACCATAACAAGTCGAGTAATTACCGTCGGCTTCAGCTACACCAGCCTCTACGGCCATAGTGAACATTTCTTTTTCAATATTCACGTTGCAATCTTTGAAACGTGCCATTACTGTAGGATAACCAAATTTAACTATACATGTGGTCTCTACTGTATAATATGCTTCAATATCTAAAAATTTTGTAGGAACTATAGTGTTATCTTTGGCTGTTATTTTCGGTACCGGATAAATACCGACATGTAATGACGGTTGTGCCTCTGACGGTGTGTAATTTGAATTTTTTTTCACTAGTACATGCGACAAGTCTATTAACGATATATGACGACTCGAATCAACATAAGTCCAACTTTTCGAGTTTTCATTCACCGACGAGATGTCCATTGTTTTACTATTTATATTAGTGGAACTATATTTATCTCTTTTAATTTTCAAAACAGCCGACCCGCTCGGGCAAAAATAGTCAGCTTGTTCACATTGAAAATAATTACTATTACTGGTGTCTGGCCAATAGTAAGTTTGATAACTGTTTAACGGTCGTCTCAAAAGACCAATTTTGGGACTATATTCGTAATTGACTATAACGGTGCCAACAGCAGCATTTGCGTCAAATTTATTTATGTGTCTGTTTAATCNGAATTTATTTATGTGTCTGTTTAACCGGGGCCACTGATACCCACTTTGTGCGCCCGTATCCGTATACAATGTAAAATAATTTTGTAAAACAGTTGGCAAATTCATGAAACTACAAGGTAGTGTGTCCTGAGGTTTACTCGTACTGGAATACCAAGCATCGTGCTGTTTCGAGTACGAATCGGGTGCTGAATCTTTAACATCCTGTGGTTCCATAGAATTAGAAGCCACTGTAGTGTACTTTTTTGTCACTCCTGGAACTTTTTTGTTCAATCCAACAGCGTAAACTCCCCATTTATTTTGATTTAATGTGGCCAATTCTGATTGTGTTGTAGCCGTTTCATAAGCCGTTCGAGCGCCCCGCAAAATAACTTTACACATTACCTTATCAATGTAACTGCCCGGTGGTAATATTTTTATTTCGTCCGATGTTAGGTACAAATGACACCTGTCCACTGGAATTTCCGCTAGAGATGTTGTTCCCCAAAATGAGTTGCCAGTATGTTTAATAGGCTTCCATTGTATTCCATACGATAAAAATTCATGATTTTTTNAAGGCTTCCACTGTATTCCATACGATAAAAATTCATGATTTTTCGAAAAAACCAAATACTTGTTTTTCGTATCGTCGATGGGTCGAGGTATAACCATGTGTAACATATCGACAGCATTAACGTTACCAGCATCAGCGTTAGGACCGATGCCCGGAATATTCGTGCTGGCAGTGAGCGCGGCCGCTGTTGGATTATTTGATTTTTTTGCTGAAGTTCCTCCAGCAGTCCACCAATTGTACTGGGGACAAATATCCACGAGTAATATCGTTTCGTGCGAGGACCGTCCATGCATCGAGTGTACAGCTGACCGGCTTGTTCTGCCACCCAACTGTTAATATCCGAGAGAATTGAGCCGCCGCGCCACGCAGGGCCTCCAGGAGCGAGATAGTGGTGTCTGAGTTGATTGAGGACACTTGAACNCAGGAGCGAGATAGTGCTGTCTGAGTTGATTGAGGACACTTGAACTTCGGTCTCTTTCCACAATTGTGGTGGCGGTAGTTTCTGTAACAATTTCGTTAGCCCCATCGGCGTCATTGCCCCGTAGTGATAGTTGTTGGCGAGGTACAAGAGGAGTATATGGACCGGCAGCATTTCGGCGCTGCCGGAGACGTGCAAGCACGCCGACAAAGCCATTATCTATAAAGCAAAAATATTAATAGAAACATTATACTGCGATTGTATTAATATTTTTGTCTTACCAAATCTGTTACGTCCATGTTCTCCTGTTTCGGCAAGAGGTCCTTGACGTTCTTCCATAATGAATGCAAAAAGAGATTTTTGTACGTTCTAACTTCCTCTGACCAACACGGGTCCACAAAAAGTTCACGTTTGGCCGAATCAATTTCACAGGTAGATTCTCCGTTAGTTTTTTGTGTGAAAATGTCCAACACTTCTTCGTCTTCTTGTACAAAAATATCTTGAGATTCAGCAGTAGAAGCGGCAGCAACACAATCTTCAGTAGAATTATTCATAATGTATTACAATATAGTATATAGTAATGAGAATGAAAAAATAAAACGTACTAGTCAGTGGATTACAGAGCTAAGATGCTGTGAACACTAAACGAGCACACTGATTTTTCTATGTGTTCGTTATCGTATTTATATACGCGGTATTGGCACCAGGAACTCATAAACGCATTTGCATTAACGAGTGCATTCACCTGCATGAATTAATCATGCTGGATGCTTGCTCAAACCTTCGGTTTCGACGACGACGACAACGACGACAGTGTAGTGTGCATTCACGACCACAGGTGGCGGTATGGGCGGAGTGACCGATCAGCGTGTGTAGTGTTGCCGCCCAGAGCATCAGTTGGCTGATCGGTCACTCCGCC